CTCGGGGACCGACAATGAAATGTCGCTCTCCGAGTACTCGTCGGATACGGCGTATACCTTGAGGCACGGGGGGGACGCGCGACCGAAGCGCGGACGCGGACGCCCCGCGACAACCGGCGAGTGGGTCGGTGTCGAGGGGGTCCGCAAGGAGTTGGAGCTCCTGAAGAAGGAGCTGGAGCGAGTGAAGGAGGAGCGGGATATCCTCGGGGCCAGGTTCGAAGTTGACTTCGGACCGACCGCGGGGGGACTCCCCTCCTCCTACGACGTGATGAGGGAGCTCGACAACGAGACCGTCGACTCCCTCATCAATGTCGTCATGGAAGAGATGGAGGCGGTGGAGCGCGTCGCTGAGCGCTCGAAGTCCCTGAAGGGTACCCTGAGGGGAGCGCTTCGGGCTGCGACGCGGCGAGCTCTGGCCGCCTCCAAGCTCTTGTTCACCCGCGCGAACATCAGCGCGGGTGAACAAACGGAGAGAGGGGCCCTCGAGCGGACCCGTCGCGACCTTGAGGCCGCGAAGGGTCTGTTCGAGGAGGCCCAGAGGAAGGTGGAGAAGTTGGAGAGGGAGGTTGAGGTCCTCAAGGCGAAGGAGACCCTTCGGGCCACCAGAGCCGAGAGGACCTTGCCCTCCCCGTGCCCCACACCGCCCCCAGGGGCGGAGTGCGGCATCGAGGCGATGGAGACGGAGATGGAGGGACCTCCCGTGTTGAGGGATGACCCTCCACCTCCAGTCTCCGTTCGGGAGGAGCCCCTCGGGGACCCGGCCGCCTCTCAAGACCTTTTGGTCGAGAGAATCGTGGCTCGGGTCGTCGAGGTGCTCCGACCCCGAACAGAGGAGACGGCCCGGCCCACCGAGCCTCCAAGGCCCCCTCCCGCGGAAGGGAGGGAGTTGTGGAGCAAGGTGGTGGGCAGGAAGGCCCGCAAGACCCGCGGAGAGGCGGGTACTTCTTCCCAGAAGACTGCTCCCCCCCCTGCCCCTAGTGGCAAAGGGGGGAGCAGTGGGAAGAAGAAGAAGAAGGGCCCGAAGAAGGGCGCTGAGGGGGCACCTGCTGGAAAGGTGCCCCCCCAGAAGAAGAAGGGCAAGGCCTCCGCCGGGGTCATCCGAGAGCCGAAGACGGCGGCGGTCCTTCTGACCGTCACCCCTGAGGCGGGGATGACCATGGGGGAGGCCTTGAAGTTGATCGCCCCCGCAAGGGAGATCATACGGGGGAGCGGGACACTCGCGGTCCTGAAGAAGTCCCAGGCTGGGGGCACTCTGTTCCAGTTAACTGGAACGGAGGGCCCCCGCCTGGCAGGGGAGCTTCTCGCGAAGATGCGAGAACTCCTGGGGGGGAGGCCGGGAGTCAGGGTCACCCGGCCCCAGAAGCGCGCGGAGTTGCGCCTTCAGGGGCTGGATGACTCTGTCACCCGGCAAGAGGTGGTTGAGGCCGTCACGGGGTTGACGGACTGCTGCGCGGAGGACCTGTCCGTGGGAGAAATCCGATTTCTCCCGGGTCGGATGGGCTCCGTGTGGCTGCGTTGCCCCGTGCCGGTCTACAACAAGGTCGTCGAGGCGGGGAGCTCTGCATCGGGTGGGGCGTGGTGGTTGTTAAACCACTCCCGGCCCGCCGGATGCGGTGCTTCCGCTGCCTCGAAGTGGGCCACGGGGCGGCCGGCTGTAAAGGGCCGGACAGGAGTGGCCGCTGCCATAGGTGCGGCGACCGCTCCCACCAGTCGCGGCTGTGCCCGGCGGGGACGCCCAAGTGTCCGCTGTGCGCGGACGTTGGGTTACCCGACGGTCACTCGCTGGGGGCGGCCACTTGCGTGCCTAGCGCAAGGGTCGCCCACCGGCGTAAAGCCGCGTTGGCCAAAAAGGCCACCGAGAAGGGGAAGGGCCCGGGCACGCAACCCTCGACGAGTGAGGGTGCGGCCCCGGCCGCTTCCGGCGGAGGGAGTAAGGGGGGCCCGCGTAGGGCTGAACCCCCCGAAACCTCCGCCCCAGCAGGGCCCGCGGGGCGGAGAGGGTGACCCGTTCGAAAGCGAACAAGGGTCCCTCCTCCGCTGCCTCGGAAAAGGGCTCCACCGATGGCGGGGAGGGTCGTTCGGCCGGGTCCTCTAAGAAGAGGACTATGGCCGACCGATCCTTCGCCGCCCAACGGGAAAAGGAGAAGGCGAGGGCTGTGCTGGGTGGGGAGGACCCTCACAAGGAGAGTTCTCCCACACCCCCCCCGCCAGAGATGAAGAGGAAGAAGGACTACGCGGACCGATTCAAAAACTGAATCGCTCCGCGTACTCCTTCCTGAGAGGAGGGCAGGGCCGGACCCCTGCGGAGAGGGGCCCTTAATTGGGCCGGGCCGCCCGGTCCCCGTTTGGGATGCTGCCGCGTGTACGCGGGGACTGGGCATTGCAGCAAGGGCGGCTGCACGACGGGGTTTTTAGTGGGTATACCCGGCATTGCACACCGAGGGAGAGGACTAGCCTCTCCTGAGGGCCGGGGAGTCCCACAGTACCCCCCAATGCGCCGGAGCATTGGGGGGTCTGCGTAATGCATTTTCCCCGTCGTAAAAAAAAAAAAAAAAAAAAAAAAAAAAAGGTTAGGTTAGGTTAGGTTAGGTTAGGTTAGGTTAGGTTAGGTTAGGTTAGGTTAGGTTAGGTTAGGTTAGGTTAGGTTAGGTTCTCCCCCGATTGGGCACCACCTTGACGTGGTGGGGGAGCTTAAGTCGGTCCCGGTCCCCTGGGGCGGTTCAGTTAGCCATTGGCTGCTGTTCCGGCCTGGGGGGGCGGGATCGGTGAACTAAGAGTGCCCATTGCGCGCGCAGCAGACCCCGAATTTATTCGGGGTCTTGCTTTGAGGAGAGCGCGCGCGGGAAGGGAGCGTGCAAGCGCTCACGCGGCTTCGGCTGCGAGGTGAAGGCGTGCGACGGACTTGTCCGTTTACGCGCGTAAAAGGAGGAGCGACGATCGCTCACGAGGCTCCGCGGCTTTGGCCGCGTTAAGAGGATGCGCGACGGACTTGCCCGGTCACAGAGTGCACGTGCACGGAGAGTGCGCCAACGCTCGAAGATCCGAGCGTTGGTCGCCGGAGTGAGGGCGAGTCCCTCCGCCGCCTGCTGTTGTTGGCGGTGTGTGGCGGGCCGGGGGCCGGTGTCTTCGGGGGTCTGGCGATTGGTCGCTACGGGCGGCGATTCCCCGGTAGTAGTCCAGCCTTGGGCTTCGGGATTAGCGGGGGTTGCCGGTACGCTCCGGCGTCCGGGAGGTCGCCTTCCCCCGCCCCCGTCGTCCCTTGGCGAGTCCCGGGTGATGCGGTTGGGGTGCGTGCTTCCGTAGCCGCCCCGTAAATCCTTCCACCTTGGGGCGCCCCAGGACGAACCCGGGGATTATGTTGAGGACGTCGTCTGGCCATGGGTCCCCCCCGGGGCATCGGGCCCGGGTTTGCCGCGCTCCGTCTGCGGCGGTGGGCGGCGGGGGGGTTTGCCCTCTGGGCGTGGGGGGTGTTTATCGGGGGGGGACTTGTCCTCCCCCCTTGCTCGCTCTGCCACAGGGCAGCGGGGTCCCGGGTGGAAACCGGGGCCCGAGTGCTGCTCACGTGTGTTGAGGGTGGCAGGGTTAAGTTACTCGCCTGTCACCCGTTGGGGCATACAACGCCCCAACACGGAGGGGACCTCTCTTTCACGAGAGAGGGGTCACCGCGTGCCTGGGGGGGGTCGCGGCTGCATGCGCAGCGTTCTCGTGGCCCTCCCCCTGTGCGCTGAAGGAGACAACCAAGGGGTTTAGCGGGTAGTCGGATTTATCCGGAGTCCCGCATACCCCCCGCCATTCCACTTGCGGGGGGATGCGTAATGCATTTCCCTTGTAAAAAATTAGGTTAGGTTAGGTTAGGTTCTCCTCCGTGGTGTGCCACCTTGTCGTGGTGGAGGAGCTCCCCTCTTCCTTCGGGTTGAGGGGTCTAAGAGCACACCATTGCACTTCCTCGTGGTGTTCGCTGTAGGCGGCGGCTTCGGATGAAAACGAAAACGAAAGCGGCCCTCGGGCCGTGAGTAGCGAGTATGTGAGTAATCCGAAGTCGTCGTGGGCGGACATCACGAGAAGGGGGGTTGCGCTCCCTCCGGGCACCTTGGCCTGATGCGCATAGGGGTTGGCGGCCCTGACTTCAATCGCCCGGCTGCACGGAGCCGTTAGGGGAGGATTTCTATCCTCCCTCCGTGCACTTTGCGGGTGCTCCCGTATGGGGATTGATGAGGAAGCTACGTGGCGGGTGCTCCTGCCACGTAGTGACCTCGGGAGGGAAGGGGTGAAGGGGGACCTTGTGTCTGGGGGTGACGCCCTTTTCAGGGCGTGCACTCTGGCATGGGGTCTCCCGGATCCCCAGTTAGGGACGGAGGAGGCCGGCAGAGCCACTCGAACTTATTTCGAGCTCGGGTCTGCCGGCTTGGCCACTGGAGCCACTCGGACTTATTCCGAGCTCGGGTCCAGTGGCGGAGGCACGGTCCGCTGACATACCTCTTCGGGGGTGTGGAGGCGGTCCGGTCACCGGGGCCGCTCGGACTTATTCCGAGGCGGGGCCCGGTGACGAGAGTAGAGTCCGGCGACCGTCGCGACTGCTTCCCTTCCGAAGCGGCGGTCAACGGACAGGCGGCGCCCTGTGTTTAAACCGCTTTGCGGCACAGGAGCGCGGGCGCGCCGGTCGCCACGGCGGGTAAGACTGGGCCGGGGAGCAGCGACCCAGTCCCAACCGTCCGTGGGGCCCTCCTGGGATAACCAAGCTTGGCAAGCTGTAGCGCGGTGCCCGTATTGTCGGAGGTACGGGAGCCCCGAAAGCCCACCCTTTACGGGGTGGGTGTGTAGGGGCCCGGAGCCCAGCGGGGGAGTTGAGTCTCTCCTCCCCCCCGAGGCATAGTCCACCCCCCGGGGGAACTTGGGGCCCCCCGTCGTGAGTGTGCCGGTCATGTTTCGGGCACTCGCGGCGGGGGTGAGGGTATACCCTGTGTGGACGGAGCCGCGCTGCACCCGGGAGAAAAACAAAAATGAGTTCTTCTAAAAATAAAAATCTAGACGAGGGGGGAGAGCCACGTCTTGTGGAAACGCAGGATCGTGAGCCAGGAGATCCAGAGATCTCGCTGCTGAGGTTGGGGATTAAATCCCCAACGGCCTCGCGCACCAGCAGCATACGCAGCACGCGTAGTACCACCCGGAGCCGACGAACAGCCCCGGGGATCCGGAGTGACTCCGAATACGACTCGGTGGACGAGTCGCTAGATCGGAGCCGGAAGACAAGGTCGGGAGAAGAGGGGGAGTTTCGCTCCCCCGACCCCCCCGTCAGGGATAGGCCAGGCCCTGCCTCCAGCAAGGCCCGGAAACGAAGAGGCAGCGGAGCGTCGGCGGCGTCTGAGGAGGCCGCAATGGAGGTCGACGATCCCGAGGGCGCTTCGCAATATAAGCGCCCGAGGGAAAGCGACGATTCCGACGCTTCAATTGCTTCGGGCGACTCAGTCCTCTCCGCTGGAAGGCTGGAACGTCGGAAGCGTGGCAGGCCTGCTACTACAGGCGAATTTGTGGGCCTGGCTAAGGCCAAAGCCGAGAAACTCCGTCTCGACCAGGAGGAGCTTAACCTTCTGGCGGAGAGAGAGCTCGCGGAGGATTGGACCGAGCCATCAATTACTCGGTCCCGTAAAATCCTCCTGGGAGCAGAGGTGGCATCCGACGACGGTTCTAAAAAGATCCTTGAACCGTCGTGCCTCTCTGCAGCTGACCTGGAGCTGCAGTTACGAGGCACAATCGATGCCATCACTAAGGTCGCCTCCTTCAAGAAGGGGTACAAAGGTACCTCTATTAGAATCTTGAAGGAGGCGGCCAAAGTGGTGGGTGCGGCTGGCAAAGAACTGGCCAGTCGCACTCAAAGTGACGAGAGCCGCCTCTTGAGAGAGGCCAATAACCGGTTAACCGGAGAAATGGCCGATCTCAAGAGGGAGCTCAAAGAACTGCGGGAGAGGGTGGCTAACATGGCGGGTGCAAAGGTTCCCGCGCCACCCTCGCCTCCAACACCGGGCCCCAGTTTTATTGCGGCCGATGCCCTCCCGCTACCTCAGCGCGAAAAGCGCCGTAGCCGGGAGGGAAACGCGGGCTCCCCTCCCTCCTCCCCTGTCCTGGATCAGTCCAAGAGAAGGAGGAGGGATGAGGGCAAGGAAGACCCGCTCGAGAAGGCCCCGGAGATCCTCGGTCTCCCGGGGGGGGAGGCGCTTATAAACGCCATCACGAGCCGCGTCGCGTCCTTCGTGAACGCGAGGCTCGAGGCGTTCGAGCAACGTCTCCCCCCTGAGAGGATTAGGCCTCCTCTGCAGGCTGACAAGGCGCCCGCGGCGGCCAGCAAAGCGAAAACTTTCGCACAAGCGGCCGCCGCGGCCCCCAAAGGGGGCAAAGGGAAAAATGGCGGGGGAAAGGGGACGACTGTCTCTGCCCCCCGCCACCTTCCCCTGCAAAGAAAGGGGGGAAGTCCAACGCCGGGGGGAAACCTGAAAAGGCCCCCCCGACGAAGGACAAGGCCAAGGCCGCTGAGTCGCGAAAGACGGCTGACGAGTCCGAATGGACCGAGGTCAGTCGCAGAGGCGACAAGGCGGCCAAAGCCAAGGGAGGGGCTAAGGCTCCTGCCTCAGCCACTACCCCTAAGAGGGGTCCCCCTTCTAAGAAGGGGAAGAGTAAGGGGGGGAAACCCCCGGTAAAGGGTGCTGGCGGGAAAGGTTCTCCTTCTTCGAGGACCCAACCCGCCAAACCCCGAAAGATTCGCCCCCCTAAGATGGCAGCCGTGCTGTTAAGCGCGGACCCATCGAAGGGGGGTGATAAGCCTGTGGCGTTAGGGGAGGCGATTGCCGGTGTTCGTGCCAGCATTAAGCTGGACGAGTTTGGCATCGCCTCCCTCAGGCCTAAAAAGGCTGCGGGCGGGGGCCTATTATTTGAGGTCCCCGGCGAGGGAAGTGGCCAGAAGGCCGATAAATTGGCAGAAGCGCTTCGGCTTCTGCTGGAGCCAAAGGGGGTGAGGGTCACCCGCCCGGTCAAACTCGCAGAACTGCGGGTGGCCGGGTTGGATGACTCGATCACCCCCGATGAGGTGCGACAAGCGATTGTCGCGGCCGGCGGCTGCTCCGCGGGGGAAGTTTCGGTTGGGAAGATCAACCTTTCCCCCGCGGGTAGACTCGGGTCCGTTTGGGCCCGCTGCCCAGCAGCCGCGGCAAAGAAGGTGATTGACGCGGGCCCGTTACCCATTGGATGGATAAAGGCCCGCGTCGAGGCCCTCGAACCCCGGCCCCTGCACTGCTTTAAGTGTTTGGGGGTCGGCCATTCGAGGGCCAACTGTAAATCGGAGGTTGACCGCAGCGGTCTTTGTTACCGCTGCGGTCAAAATGGCCATGTGGCCGCCGGGTGCACCGCCAAGGACCCCCACTGTCCGCTTTGTGCGGAGGGGGGCACCCGGCGAACCATAGGTACGCGGGGAGAGCGTGCGTCTCCCTGCGTACGAAGGGGAAGAAGAAGAAAGGGGGAAAGGGGGCAAAACCGGCCCCCTCCCCCCCCACAGAGGGACCCCGAAAACGGGGGGCTGCTCCGCCGACTTCGGAGCGGCCCCCCCCTTCTTCGGAGCCCCGTAAAGGCCCGGATGGAAGCCAGGAGGAGGCGATGGATACTGCCTAAATCAGTAGACACCATCGCCTCCTCCAGGCGAATATTAACCACTCCGCCAGGGCGCAGGATCTCTTGCTGCAAACCCTGGCGGAGTGGAATATTGATCTAGCGGTGGCGGCCGAGCCGTACCACGTCCCCGCAAAATCCTGTTGGATTGGCGACGTGGACGGCACGGTCGCCATTATTGGCCGTGGTGGCCCAAATGCTCTCCCCCTTACCCTACTGGGGAGGGGGAGTGGCCACGTAATGGCCACATGGGGGGAAATTGCTGTGGTGGGGGTGTATTTTTCGCCCAACCGAGACCTGACCCAATTTCGGGCATACCTGGACCAGGTGGCGGCATCCATACGCCGTCAATTGCCTGGTCCGGTATTGGTTGCGGGGGACTTCAACGCCAAGTCGGTGGATTGGGGTTCCCCCGTGACGGACGCCCGGGGTCAGGAGCTCGCGGAATGGGGGGCGGAGCTGGGCCTCATAGTTCTTAACAGAGGCTCGGCTCACACCTGCGTGCGACACAACGGGGGATCCATCGTCGATTTGACGTTTGGGTCCCCGGCGGTTGCACGTCAGGTGGTCGGCTGGAGAGTTATGGAGGGGTCGGAAACACTGTCCGATCACCGGTATATCCGGTGGGACATGTCCGACCCCTCCCTTGGGACCCGGCCGCGTCCCTCTGGGCGTAGAGGAACACCCTCACCCCCCCGCTGGGCGCTTAAGCGCCTGGCAGAGGACGCCTTGATGGCAGCCGCTTCGGCTAAGGCTCTGGAAGTTATCCCGGAGCCTGATGCCTGCGACATAAACGGGGAGGTAACTTGGTTCCGGGAGGCCATGACACAAATTTGTGACGTGGCCATGCCCCGGATCCGGGCCCTCCCTGAGAGAAGGTCGGTGTACTGGTGGTCTCCCGAGATCGCGCAATTGCGCGTGACGTGCGTGCGGGAGCGCCACCGGTACACCAGATGTCGTCGCAGGCGTCATTCGGAGGCTGAAGCGGCGTCGCTGTATGCAACCTACAGAGAGGCGAAAAAGGTGCTGCAGCGAGCCATCAAAAGGGCCAAGGATAAGGCCTGGGCAGAGCTCCTGGAGACTCTCAACGAGGATCCATGGGGGCGCCCCTACCTGATTGTCAGGAAAAAACTGCGATCGGGGGGGCCCCGGATCACGGAGAGTCTCCACCCCCAGGTCCTGGAGGACGTTGTCTCAGCCCTTTTCCCCAATAATGGGGAGGGGGCGGACACTACTCCGGGACAGTCGGTCCACACAACATCGTGGACCGACGATCTGGGGGTTACAGAGGAGGAGCTGGCTGGGGCTATTCGTAGGCTCCGGGCGAAAAATACCGCCCCGGGGCCTGATGGAATCCCTGGCCGTGCCTGGGTCTTGGCCCTTGGCGTCCTTGGGGACCGCCTGAGGAGGCTTTTTACAGCCTGCCTCAGGACGGGGCAATTTCCCCCCCGGTGGAAAGAGGCGACACTCGTCCTCCTGCATAAGGAAGGGCGCCCCGCGGAGTCGCCCTCCGCGTATCGCCCGATATGCCTATTGGACGAGGCGGGCAAACTTTTCGAGCGCGTGCTCGTTGCCCGCCTCCAACGGCATCTGTCTCGGGTGGGCCCCGATCTGGCCGACTGCCAGTACGGATTCCGAGAAGGCCGCTCAACAGTGGACGCGATTAAACGCGTGCGGGCCTTCTCGGATGAGGCTGTCTCCCGGGGTGGTGTGGCGTTGGCGGTGTCATTAGACATTGCCAACGCCTTCAATTCTCTACCCTGGGGGTGTATAGGGCGTGCGCTCGACTACCACCGAGTGCCGCCCTATATGCAGTCGGTCATTAGGGACTATTTAAGGGACAGAGCCGTGGCATATCGGGCACGGTACGGTGTACCGTTGCGGAGGGCCGTGTACTGCGGGGTTCCACAGGGGTCGGTCCTTGGCCCCATATTGTGGAACCTCGGGTACAATAGTGTACTCCGGGGAGCTCTCCTCACGGGCCTTGGTGTCGTCTGCTATGCAGACGACACCTTAGTCATGGCCCGTGGGGACACATGGGGGGACGTGTGTCGCCTCGCTCGTGTCGGGGTGGCACTGGTCGTTGGCCGCATTCGCGCCTTGGGGCTGACGGTGGCGTTGCATAAGACAGAGGCTGTTTACTTTAAACAGCCTCTGCAGCGACCACCACCTCAGCCCCATATTACCGTCGAGGGAGTCCGCATCGAGGTGCGGTCCAGTATGAAATATCTGGGCCTGCACCTCGATCGCCACTGGGATTTTCGGGAGCACTTCTCGCGCATGGCCCCCCGTATAAGGGCAGCAATAAACTCCTTCGGGGGTTTGCTGCCCAACATAGGGGGGCCTAGAGATAGGGTGCGCCGCCTTTATATGGGGGTAGTAGGATCTATGATCCTATATGGGGCCCCCGTGTGGTCCGGAAATATCGCGGCCAGCCGCAGCTGTCTTGCAATTATGCAAGGCTTGCAGCGCAGGCTGGCCGTCCGGATCACTAGGGGGTACAAAACCACCCCCACGGAGGCGGCGCTAGTGGTGTCGGGGTCGATCCCATGGGATCTGCTGGCGGGGGCGTACGCTGCTCTGTATGAGTGGCGTACTGCCCTCCGCCAGCAAGGTGTTACCCCGACACCGCGCGAGAAGGATGCTGCTCGAACCCAGTTCCGGCAGCTCGCAGTAGAGAGGTGGAAAGAGAGGCTGGCCCACGTTAGGGTCGGCCTCCGAGCTGTCGGAGCCATCCGCCCGGTCCTCGAGGACTGGGTGGATAGGCGGCCTAAGGGACTCCCCTTTAGGGCGGTGCAGGTACTCACCGGGCATGGTTGCTTCGGTGAGTACCTGCATGAGAAGGCGAGGCGCGAGCCAACGACTCGGTGTCACCACTGTACGGAGGTAAGGGACACGGCGCAGCACACCCTTCAGGATTGTCCTGCATGGGATGTGCAGCGCCGTGCCCTCTGCGTCGCGGTCGGCGACGACCTCTCGCTCCCGGCCATCATTGCTAAGATGGTCGGGAGTGAGGACGCCTGGGACGCCATGGTCTCCTTCTGCGAGCATGTTATGCTGCAGAAGGAGGCCGCGGAGAGGGAGAGGGAGGTAGATCCTTCCTCTGACCCGATCCGCCGGAGGAGGGGGGGTGCGCGGAGGAGGGCTTATGCCCTTCTAGCTTCTGCAGCGCCCCCTGCAGGGATAACTTGATCCCTGCACCTCCTCCAGAGGCGGGCCGAGAGAGATAGAATAAATATCTCCCTCGGCTAGGGGCCGTGGGGGTCTTCCGCGCTTGGAGAACGCGGAAGTTCCCCCCGCGACAACATGCCCCTTCCCAGAAGGACGGCGAGACAGGGTGACCTGGTCTCGCTGTCATACCTGTAGGGGGGTGGGGTGAATAACACCCTAACCCCGCCTTCTACAGAGGGACCCCTCCTTAAAAAAGAGGAGGGGTCGTAGCACGACTAGGGGGGGTTTGCGGCTGCATGCGAAAGCGTTCCCGCGGCCCCCCCGGTTGCGTGCGAGGTGGTCACCATGGGGTTTTAGCGGGTAGTCGGGACAGATAGTTTCTGGAGTCCCGCATAACCCCCCCCTTATACTCCTTGGGGGGGGTATGCGTCAATGCATTTCCCCATGTAAAAAAAAAAAAAAAAAAAAAAAAAAAAAAGGTTAGGTTAGGTTCTCCTCCGATCTCCTCCGATGGTGCGCCACCTTGTCGTGGTGGAGGAGCTCCCCTCTTCCTTCGGGTTGAGGGGTCTAAGAGCGCACCATTGCACTTCCTCGTGGTGTCCGCTGTAGGCGGCGGCTTCGGATGAAAACGAAAACGAAAGCGGCCCTCGGGCCGTGAGTAGCGAGTATGTGAGTAATCCGAAGTCGTCGTGGGCGGACATCACGAGAAGGGGGGTTGCGCTCCCTCCGGGCTTTATGGCCTGATGCGCATAGGGGAAGGAAAACCCTGACTCCAAACCCGGCACAATGGGGCTGTTACGGGTGGAAGAACACCCAACCCATTCTTTCTTCCTCCCATCCTAAACCTCCCATCCTTCTTCCCCGACCGATTGTCCCAAGGTCTCCACTTCTACTTTTCTTCGGGGTGGCGCCCGCTTTCAAATAGCACGGTACCCGGCTTTGGGTGCAGATGGAGCCCAGCGACTCCATAGAGATGAGGTCTGCTGCCGCGGACCAGTCTCGTTCGCTGGAAGGGGTTGGCGGCCCTGACTTCAATCGCCCGGTGGTACGGCACTGTAGGGGGAGCCTAGCTCTCCGCCCGTAACTTGTGTGGGTGCTCCCACAGGGGGGATGAGGTGGCGGATCGGTGGGTGCTCCCGCCGTGAAGCGTCCCTCAAAGGGGAAAAACGGGAACCGGCCGGGACCCTCGCCCGAGGGACTGGTGGGGTGACTTTGTCACCTGCCGGGCCAGAGGCGGGGATTATCTCGGTGGCGGTTCCTCTGTGTGTGAATGGTGTGTGCATGTGTGAGTGTGTGTGTGGGTGGAGTTCGGGTCTCTCCTCGGAGAGACGCGGAAATCCACCATCTTTTTGGCCACCGGGCAGTAGAGTCTTCGGGTCGCGGCTTGCTTTCAAGAGGGTTGGTGCCTCACCCTCCGGAAAAATCGGAGGCATACTTATGTCGAGTCTCGGGAACCGTCGAGTGGAGCGGTCCTTATGTCAGGTGAAGGGTACTGTGTTTACGGTACCTGGAGGCTGACATACCGCAAGCGAAGGGTCCGCCTTCCCCTCGCTTTAAATAAAAAATCCGGAGGCGGGGACACGGGAAGGAGCCGGCGTCGCACGTCGGCAACAGGGGGATTGCCCATCCTTGTATAAAAAATCGAAGGCAGCCGGGTGCAGTGTTGACTTCCGTCGCGAAGCACGATAGTGTTTCCCGATGGAAACAACACAGCACAACACCGTCTCCACGTGGAGGCGGAGCTTCTCTCGGATAGGAAGCCCATCTTCCGCTCTTCAAGCGGGAGGTGAGGTTGAGGGGTGGTGCATCACCCTCCGGAAAACCGGATGCACATTTAACTCGAGTCACGTGTGCCCGTATGGCGTGGTTATGTTGGGTGATGGGTTCCTGTGGAAGACCCACTTGAATCCACCGGTCAACATACCGCAAGCGGGGGTCCGCCTCCCCTCGCTTTAAATAAAAAACGCGGAGGCGGGGACACGGGTTAGGAGTCGGCGTTGCACGTCGGCGACAGGGGGCCTGCCCACCCCTGTATAAATAAACGTAGGCAGCCGGGTGCGGTGGTGTCTCGACCGAGACATTGGTATCTCGATTGGGACACTGCTGCACAAGCCGCCTCTACCGGGAGGCGGGTTTAGAAACTTCGGGTAGGATGCCCACCTTCGCGGCGAAAGCGGGAGGTGAGGCGAGGGTTGTGCATCATCCTCCGGAAATCCGGATGCACATTTACTTCGAGTCACGGGGGCTAACAGGAGTCTGCATTCCTCCTGTATAATAACGCGGATGCAGGGACACGGGAAGGGTCGATGAGGGTGAGGGGAGCATCGCAACCTCCGCTAAGGTTTCTGGCTCGCTTGGGTCCGGAGGTTTCCATTCGGATAGGGTCGGTGGGACCGGGGAACTTCGGTTCCTGGGCTCAAGCGGGTCATAGGGTTTCCATTCGGATAGGGTCGGTGGAACCCGAGGAAGCTGAGGCGGACAGATGCTCCCGAGCCTTTCATCCACAGAGTGGGGTGCGCCTTCCCCCATCTTTGAAAAACACGGAGGCGATCGGTGCTGGTTGTATCTACGATGAGATCAACTTAGCGTTTTTTGTTTTCGTTTTCGCGGTAGCTCTTTTTGTTGCGGGTAGGATGCCCACCTTCGCGGCGAAAGCGGGAGGTGAGGTGAGGGTTGTGCATCACCCTCCGGAAATCCGGATGCACATTTACTTCGAGTCACGTGGGCCAACAGGAGTCTGCATTCCTCCTGTCTAAAAACGCGGATGCAGGGACACGGGAAGGGTCGATGAGGGTGAGGGGAGCAACGAAACCTCCGCTAAGGTTTCCGGCTCGCTTGGGTCCGAAGGTTCCCATTCGGATAGGGTCGGTGGGACCGGGGAACTTCGGTTCCTGGGCTCAAGCGGGTCATAGGGTTTCCATTCGGATAGGGTCGGTGGAACCCGAGGAAGCTGAGGCGGACAGATGCTCCCGAGCCTTTCATCCACAGAGTGGGGTGCGCCTTCCCCATCTTCGAAAAACTCGAAGGCGTCCGGTGCTGGTTGATCTGCGATGAGATCAATTCAGCGTTTTTTGTTTTCGTTAATCTTAAGTAGTTTTTAAGTAGTGTTAAGTTAATTTTAAGATAGTTTTAAGTTAGTTTTAAGCTAATATTCCTTCTTTCTTTTCAGGTTTTTATTTTATTTTCAGGTTAGCTCGCGTCGGGTAGGAGATGCAGCGAGGGTTAGTGCATCACCCTCCGGAAAATTCGGATGCACGATTATTTCGAGTCACGGATGCCGTCGAGTGGCGCGGTTATGTCAAGTGACGGGTCCATTGGTCCCCGAGGCTGACATACCGCAACAGGAGTCTGCATTCCTCCTGTATAAAAAGGCGGATGCAGGGACACGGGAAGGGTCGATGAGGGTGAGGGGACCATTGTAATGGTCTGCTGGTGTCCCTTTAGTGCTTTGCTGGGTCTGTAGGTCTCCATTCGGATAGGGTCGGTGGAACCGGGGAACTTCGGTTCTTGGGCTCAGCGGGTACTTGGGTGCTCATACGGATAGGGTCGGTGGGACCCGGGAACATCAGCAGACTTGGGTGGTCCCAAGCCTTTCATCCACAAGGTGGGGTATGCCTTCCTCCAGCCGGAAAACGCGGAGGCATCTGCGGTGCCGAGGTGTATCTCCAATGTGATCACCTCGGTCAAATGGTTAGTGCCTGAACGGGCGGTGTGCCGGCCTAGCGATCGAGCGGGACCGTCGACCAAACGCCGGGGCTGGCGTCCCCCCCGAGTAGTAGTCGACGCGATACTTCTCTGCCGATTCTGCCTAGGTGAGAGGGCCCCTCCAATTAAAATGAGGGGAGCTCGGTCGAGAGGAAGGCACATCTCTCAACACAGGAGTCTACCTAGTGGGGGCCTGCCTTACCCCACTCTAAAACAAGCGAAGGCACACGCGAATCATCTGGGTCCCCCTGGGTGGCTGGACACCTGGGGGGACACCACCAGAGGTGGTCCCCCGGCAGAGGGGGAAAAAATTAGTGGGCAGGGTGGCCGGCGTGCGTGGTCCAGATGCACTTGGACCCGCAGCGTTACGGACCTTGTTTTCGGCCCTCTTTGAAGGGTGCACCTCTCCGTGGACGCCACCTTGTCGTGGTGGAGAGGCTTAAGCCGTTCCCGGTCCCCTGGGGCGATTCAGTAGCCATTGGCTGCTGTTTCGGCCTGGGGGGGCGGGGCGGTGAACTAAGAGCGTCCATTGCACTCCCTCGTGGTGTTCGCTGTAGGCGGCGGCGTTGGATGAAAACGAAAACGAAAGCGGCCTTCGGGCCGTGAGTAGCGAGTAGCGAGTAGTCCAGCGTCGCCGTGGGCGGACATCACGAGAAGAGGGGATTCCGCTCCCTTCGGGCACTTTGGCCTAATGCGGATAGGGGAAGGAAAACCCTGACTCCAAACCCGGTACAATGGGGCCGTGACGGGTGGGAGAACACCCAACCCATTCTTTCTTCCTTACCTATCCATAACCTCCTTTCCTTTTTCCTGCCCCTTGGTCCCCAGTTTCCCCCTCTACTTTCTCCGGGGTGGCGCCTGCTATCCAATAGCCAGCTTTTCTTTCTTCTTTCTTCGGGGTGGCGCCCGCTATCAAATAGCCTAGAGGAGACAACCTCGATAAAAAACAAAAAACTGGATGGATATGCCCAAAAAGAAAAGGACAACGTTACCGGCCCAGGGGACTTCGGACCCCCAGGGCCCGGCGGGTGAGGGGGGTAGCGTCCCGGCCCCTCCCCCGTCGTCATCAGACGACGGGCGATCCCCGGGGTCAGGGGTGGGCCCCGGGGCCGAACGGACGACCGCCCCCACTACGGGAAGGAAGCGCTCTTCCTTGACTCCCCAGAAAGCCATTGTGCGGCTTATGGAGAGTCTGGAAGACGTGATGGAGGGTGCCAGAGAATGGCACACGTATTACTCGTCTATTCGAGACGAGGCGGTGGAGAAAGAGGTGGATGATTGGGAAGTGCGGTTCCCGGAGGGCTTGAGCTGTCTACAGGACCAGATAGACTGGTTTGACCACGCGCTCGAACAGCTTTGCGCGGCTCAGCCCCTCGTCCGGGGTGCGCTGGAGAGGCGGGGGGGAAGGGAGGCGGAGACACAGACTTCTCCGCCCCCATCCCCTCCCCCCGAGATGGAGAGTAGAAGAGAGGTGTCTGAGGTGGGGACGGACCCGATGTGGGTCCCTCCCCTCCTCAGACGAGATGTTGGTGTGGGCACGGGCTCTGCACTCCGCTGGAGGAGTAGCAGGGGCGTGGGAACACCGCGGGAGTGGAGGGAGGTGTGCCACTGCACCCTCCCCGCAGCGGAGAACAGGGGGGCTAGCCCAGTTGCAATCAACTACGCTGCCCCCCCAACGAGTCAGCGTAGGAGAGGTCCGGTTGAGGGGACCCCCAGGAGTACGCTCAGGGGGTCTGGTCCGACCGGCCTCTCTTACGCTGACATGGTGAAGGCTCCGAGTGCCCGGGGTCTTAAGAACCAACGCTTGGTTCTGGCCCCGGGACTCGGAGATGTGAGGCTGGAGCGAAATGGTGACGGGGATCTCGTCGTGGAGATCCCCGCCACCATGGATACGGGTGGTGTGATCCCCCCGAGGGGGGTTGATTCCGGGCTGGAATCATCCCCCTCCGAGGGAGAGGGGAGATCTTCCCCTGATGTGGGGAAAGGAAGGAGAAGGCAGGGGTGGCGCCGGGCTGGTCGCCCTTCGGCAGTTTTGCCGAGTGAGTGGCCGGCCAGGTGCTACTCCTGCCTTGAAGCCGGGCACGTGGCAGCTCAGTGCCCGGTGAGTGGTGGGTGTAGCAGGGGGGTGCGCTGCTATAAATGCAGCGCACCCTCCCACAAGATAGCGGCGTGCCGTGCGGGGACTCCGAGGTGTCCGCTGTGCGCGGATCTCGGACTCCCCGCGGGGCATGTCCTGGGAGCGGAGGGTTGTAGGCCTCCGCTCCCGGGAGTGGGGGGGAGAATTGGGCGTAACGGGGGAGCCCCGCTGAGCCCGGGTGCGGGTCGGGGGCTTCCCCCGTCCAAAAAAGGAGGGAGTGGGGGCCAGAAGCGTGGCCCTCTGGACTCCCACCCGGAAGGGTGGGATCCGGGGGAAAACGTGAATGGCCCCGGTGAGGTCGGCTCCTCCTCTGTGTCGCCACGGACCTTCTGGTTCGGGCGGCCGGAGGGGGAAGCTTCGGCCATTGGGGGGGGGACGGTGGAGTCCGCTAAATAGCGGACCTCATAGTCTCCCCCCCCCAGGGGATCGTCGGGGGAGGGCTAGTAGCCTACGGGCGAATGTCCTCTTCCCGGTGACCCCCTCGGGATGGGAGGGATAACGGCGGGGGACCTTCTGTCCCCTGCTCGAACCTCGTGGTGGGCCCCCGGGCTGACTGCCGAATCCGTTTCCCTAAGGGGGGCGGAGGGAGCACCAACCCGGGGGCATGGGGCCGGGGCCCGAGTCGGGAGAACTCGGACCCCGGCCCTGTCCCCCCTGACCACCAAGGGAGGGACGCGGGTGGGCAGTGTGGCCCTGTCCACCCGCAACCGCGCACGCGCGAGAGAACGGGGGGCCAATTGAGCCCCCCCCGGGATGAGGATCGGGCGGCGGCGTCACCGAACACCTGTGACGTCGCCTCCTGATCGCCGCGGGGGAGGAATTTCGTGGGGACAGAGATGCCGAAGTATTGCAATAGCGAGTCCCGGGTCTCTGTCCCCTCCTCCTGCCGCCGGGATGGCCACCCCAGGGGTTTTAGTGGGTATACCTCCCCTTCTGGGAGGGAGTCCCACATAACCCGCGGTCCCTCCCCGGGGACTGCGGGTATCCATCAAGGATTTCCCCTGGGCAACAAAAAAAAAAAAAAAAAAAAAAGGTTCTCCTCCGATGGTGCGCCACCTTGTCGTGGTGGAGGAGCTCCCCTCTTCCTTCGGGTTGAGGGGTCTAAGAGCGCACCATTGCACTTCCTCGTGGTGTTCGTCGCGGTGGTGGCGGGTGAAAGCGAAAACGAAAGCGGCCCTCGGGCCGTGAGTAGTGAGTATGAGAGTAGCCCAAAGCCGCCGCGCGGACATCACGAGAAGGGGGGTTGCGCTCCCTCCGGGCTTTATGGCCTGATGCGCATAGGGGAAGGAAAACCCTGACTCCAAACCCGGCACAATGGGGCTTTTACGGGTGGAAGAACACCCAACCCATTCTTTCTTCCAACCCATCCTAAACCTCCCATCCTTCTTCCTCGACCGATTGTCCCAGGGTCTCAACTTCTACTTTCTTCGGGGTGGTGCCCGCTTTCAAATAGCACGGTACCCGGCTTTGGGTGCAGATGGAGCCCAGCGACTCCATAGAGATGAGGTCTGCTGCCGCGGACCAGTCTCGTTCGCTGGAAGGGGTTGGCGGCCCTGACTTCAATCGCCCAGTGGTACGGCACTGTAGGGGGAGCCTAGCTCTCCGCCCGTAACTTGTGTGGGTGCTCCCGCAGGGGGGATGAGGTGGCGGATCGGCGGGTGCTCCCGCCGTGAAGCGTCCCTCAAAGGGGAAAAACGGGAACCGGCCGGGACCCTCGCCCGAAGGACTGGTAAGGTGACTTTGTCACCTGCCGGGCCAGAGGCGGGGATTATCTCGGTGGCGGTTCCTCTGTGTGTGAATGGTGTGTGCATGTGTGAGTGTGTGTGTGTGGGTGGAGTTCGGGTCTCTCCTCGGAGAGACGCGGAAATCCACCATCTTTTTGGCCACCGGGCAGTAGAGTCTTCGGGTCGCGGCTCGCTTTCAAGAGGGTTGGTGCCTCACCCTCCGGAAAAATCGGAGGCATACTTATGTCGAGTCTCGGGAACCGTCGAGTGGAGCGGTCCTTATGTCAGGTGAAGGGTACTGTGTTTACGGTACCTGGAGGCTGACATACCGCAAGCGAAGGGTCCGCCTTCCCCTCGCTTTAAATAAAAAATCCGGAGGCGGGGACACGGGAAGGAGCCGGCGTCGCACGTCGGCAACAGGGGGATTGCCCATCCTTGTATAAAAAATCGAAGGCAGCCGGGTGCAGTGTTGACTTCCGTCGCGAAGCACGATAGTGTTTCCCGATGGAAACAACACAGCACAACACCGTCTCCACGTGGAGGCGGAGCTTCTCCCGGGTAGGAAGCCCATCTTCCGCTCTTCAAGCGGGAGATGAGGTTGAGGGTGGTGCATCACCCTCCGGAAAACCGGATGCACATTTAACTCGAGTCACGTGTGCCCGTATGGCGTGGTTATGTTGGGTGATGGGTTCCTGTGGAAGACCCACTTGAATCCACCGGTCAACATACCGCAAGCGGGGGTCCGCCTCCCCTCGCTTTAAATAAAAAACGCGGAAGCGGGGACACGGGTTAGGAGTCGGCGTTGCACGTCGGCGACAGGGGGCCTGCCCACCCCTGTATAAATAAACGTAGGCAGCCGGGTGCGGTGGTGTCTCGACCGAGACATTGGTATCTCGATTGGGACACTGCTGCACAAGCCGCCTCTACCGGGAGGCGGGTTTAGAAACTTCGGGTAGGAGGCCCACCTTCGCGGCGAAAGCGGGAGGTGAGGTGAGGGTTGTGCATCATCCTCCGGAAATCCGGATGCACATTTACTTCGAGTCACGGGGGCTAACAGGAGTCTGCATTCCTCCTGTCTAATAACGCGGATGCAGGGACACGGGAAGGGTCGATGAGGGTGAGGGGAGCATCGCAAC